TTCTCTCGTCCTTTCTGTTATTCCTTTCTGCTGTCATTTCTGTTATTCCTTTCTGTTATTCCTTTCTGCTGTCATTTCTGTTATTCCTTTCTGTTGTCCTTTCTGTTGTTCCTTTCTGTTATTCCTTTCTCTTGTCCTTTCTGGTGTTCTTTCTGTTGGTCCTCTGTGTTGACGTTTCTGTGCTCCTTTCTGTTGTCCCGCTCTGTTGTCCCTGTTGTCCCCTCTGTTATCCTTTCTCTTGTCTTTTCTGGTGTCTCTCTCTACCCTACATTTAGTTCGATGCCAAGATTTGTTGCACTAAATACCTTGCCGGTCACACGCTCATTTAATTAGTCATGTAGACACATAATGCATGCGTAGCAATTCCACGATGTTTTTGTGTTGATCCATCGACTAATCCGCGTTTTTCCTCTCCCATGGCGGGGATCGCAGAGACGGACTACCCTCCGACGGCAAACGCCGGCCCAGACAAGATCGTGAAGCTACCGAGCGGCGAGATCACGCTGTGGGGCAACGCGAGCACGGACGATCACGGCATCGCCAGCTACGAGTGGTCGAAGACGTCCACGACGGGAGCCGTCGACATGCAGGTGAGGTCACGTGCGGGGTCACGCGTGAGGTCACGGCGTCGTGAAATCGCGAGCGCCGTGGGTGGGAATCGACCAATCTGAGATTTGTTTTTAGGACATTCTCTACTTGTCTACATGTTGGGATTGCGAAGTAAATGTGGATGTGAGCGTTTAGCTTTACCAGCTAGCTAGATGTAAGGCGTTGAATGGTACGCGACAGTATAGCTGTCATTCGCTTGTTTTCGGGCTGTGGTGACGTTTGTGTGTGTTTTCAGGGTTCGCACAAGGCGTTTCTGCATCTGACTAACCTCGAGCTTGGTGACTACACATTCCGACTGAAGGTGACCGACACTCTGGGCCAGTCATCCGAAGCAGACGTGCATGTGTTCGTGCAGCCTGGTACGTAAGCCTCCTTCATGAGATTTCACTCTTCTTCTTGTACTTCTTCTTGTTCTCGTTTTTGTTATTGTTTTTCTTGTTCTTCTTCTTCTTCTTTTTCTTTTTTTTCTTCTTCATCTTTTTCTTCTTCTTCTTCTTCTTCTTCTTCTTCTTCTTCTTCTTCTTTTTCTTCTTCCTCTTCTTCTTTTTCTTTTTCTTCTTCTTCTTCTTCTTCTTCTTCTTCTTTTTCTTTTTCTTTTTCTTTTTCTTCTTCTTCTTCTTCTTCTTCTTCTTCTTTTTCTTCTTCTTCTTCTTCTTCTTCTTCTTCTTCTTCTTCTTCTTCTTCTTCTTCTTCTTCTCTTCTACACATGATTTATGATGGAGAGCTCCACACGTCTTAACTAGCGTCTGTTCTCGTGATGTTGCAGAGGCTCAGGGTGGGCCGCGGGCCGACGCCGGGGTCGACAAGGAGATATCAGCTCCCAACGATACTGTGATGTTAGACGGTAGCAACAGCGAAGGTGTGACGACGTACGAGTGGACACAGTTGAAGTAGGCGACGCCCCGTCTGATGACGTTCACACGAGAGTTTCCTCGTGTTTACTTGCGTTACTGGCGTTTATTTGCAGTTACTCGCGTTTAATTTCATTTACTTGCGTTCACTTGCGTTTTCTTTTATTCATTTAAGACTTGAGTTTTTCAATTCTAAAACCGGAACTTCAAAATCATTCAGCAGAATCAAATGTCGGTTAATCGCGACACGGGGGAACTTTCTCGCCTCCACGTCGTCAACATTACTTACATCTGCGTGTGGTTTTGCAGAGGTCCGGCGGGGGCGGTCATCGTGAGTCCGGCCGAGGCACAGACGAAGGTGACGAAGCTCGCGATAGCAGAGTACGAGTTTCAGCTGACCGTCAAGGACAGTCAGGAGAAGAGCGACTCGGCCTCCGTCCACGTCAAGGTCAAGCAAGGTCAGAGGTCGCGCGCACGCATTCCCGCCGCTCACGGCGAATCTCCTTTGAGGGAGTTCCTTAGTGTTCCTCTTTCTAATCTACAGAGGGTTGTCTCCACTTTTATCTAGTAGAGAAGAATGGGTTTGTCGACTTTTTGCAATAAGCTAAATAGTTGAGCACAACTTTTATAACAAACAGCATAAATCTGTGTGCTGCGTGTAATATCATTTTCATACTTTTTGGCTCGGCTGCCTGGTTACAGAAGAGACGTAGCACTGGTGCCCTGCAGCTGTTGCTGTGTTGCTGTAGGACATTCGAATGACAATGTTTGTTAATGAAGTACCAGAAAGTTGACAATTTGGGGTGTGTGTGTGAAAAATACGTACAAACAGATCTAGCTCGACTGATCTAGAAACCATCATGATTATCTCATACAGACGGATGGGTCGATGAGTGGCGAACTGTCGTTGGCTGTCGTGAGCTTGCCCTCGATCCACGCGCTGTACCTCCTAGCGTCGCATTCTCTCGTTGCAGTGGAGAATCGTCCCCCGACTGCGGACGCTGGCCGCCCGCAGGCAATGCGTCTGCCGGACAACCTGCTGCTGCTGAACGGCAGCAAGTCGTCGGACGACCTGGGCATCATCAGCTATGAATGGACGAAGCAGGACACGAGCCCTGCTGCCGGGGTAACTATTCACTAGTCACTGTACCAAGCAGGACACGAGCCCTGCTGCCGGGGTAACTATTCACTAGTCACTGTACCAAGCAGGACACGAGCCCTGCTGGCGGCGGGGTAACTATTCACTAGTCACTGTTCCAAGCAGGGACCACGATCCTGCTGCCGGGTAAACTAGTTCACTAGTCGTGTACCAACAGGACACGAGCTCCTGCTGCGGGGTAACTATGTCACTAGTCACGGTGTACCAAGCAGGCACAAGTCTGCTGGCCGGGGTAACTATTCACTAGTCACGTCGTACCAAGCAGGACACGAAGCCTGCTGCCGGCCGTAACTATTCACTAGTCAGCTTGTTTTATACCAAGGCAGGGACACGGGCCTGCGTGGGCGTAGAGTGCGGTGTCAGTGAGTGCCGGTACTAAGGGCGACAATTAATGTATCATGATATATAGTATTAGTGTAGTATAGTGACAGTGTAGTACAGTATGATTATGATGTTATATATATTTATTTATACACATATAATATATATATATATATTTATATATATATATATAATTTAACAGTACCTATATTTCCGTGTATATTATTTGTCAAAATCATATATATTGGCCTTAAGTACTGATCGGTAACCCTGCTAACTTCTGACTTAAAATATGTTCTTCGTAGTATAAGGTGATGTTAAGAAGAAGAGAACAGAGTTCTATGTTCTGTTATTCGTCGTTGGTCTGCCAAAAATGTGATAATCTTATAAGATTCTTCTTACAGCTTTTTTAACGTAATAACGTACAACTGGCGTAACATCTACTATATATGGTATCTTCCCGATTCCATCAGGAATTTCTCGGCAGAACGCAGCTGGAGAAGATCGCCATGGTTACGGGCTTCGTCCCCGGCCACTACGTCTTTCAGTTGAAGGTGACGGATGGCCAGGGGGCGTCGGCGACGGCGGTGACCACGGTCGAAGTTCATCCGAGCAGCCACCAGGTGGAGCTAGTGCAGATGGAGATCGATGCCGATCCAATGACCTACACCGTAGCACAGAAGGTCAGACACGCAGATGCGCAGAAGTTCTTATGCTAACGTTCGAGCGTAACGGGTGTGTGCAGATGTGCATTGTGTGTACGTGCGTGCGTCCGCTTGCGCGTGCGTGGGTGTGTGTGTACGTGCGTGCGTCCGCTTGCGCGTGCGTGGGTGTGTTGGAGTTATTTGCTCGAACATCTTGTGAAGATCTCTTGTTGCTTACATGTGCTGATGTATCTCATGTGCTGATGTATCTCATGTGCTGATGTATCTCATGTGCTGATGTATCTCATGTGTCTTCTAGAACGAGCTGATCAGCCAGCTGCAGCTGTTGTTGCGCACGCAGCAGGATGACGTCATTGTTAACATCGATGGTCTTGAGCGGCAGCAGAACTCAGGAAGGTACGCAGTTACGTGTGAAGCATGGACAAGATGCGAGAATGTGTGACTTACCTTTGTTTAACCTCAATGAAATCATCTTTTATTACTCCTTCCAGCAAACTCGTTCAGAGCAGAAACGATACTTACTACTCTCGTGAACATGTGCACAGTCTAGTAACTGTACTATGCATTTGAGTTTGCATGTGTTCGTGCTAATATTTTTCTGATTAATCGCAGGTACATGTCGCTACCATGTGGGACCCATTTGTTTCGCCCGTCCATGAATCCATCACGTGCATTGAGTGTCGGTTTCTGTTTGATCTCTCACTCTCTCCCTATCTCATTCTCTCACACACACACCCTCTCTCTCCCTATCTCCCTCCCTCCCTTCCTACCCTCCTCTCTCTCCCTCCCTCTCTCACTCCCTCACTCACCCCCCTCTCTCTCTCTCCATGTAGGATGATAGTGCTGTTCTACGTGACGCGGCCGGTGGCGGCAGCGGTGGCGGACGGCAAGAACAAGCACCAGCCTGAGCGTGAGATGCTCCCTGGTCCCGAGGTCGCTGCGCAGCTGCTGAAGCGACTGAAGGCGGACGCCAGCGTGCTCGGCACCCCCGTATACTCCGTCGACACTCTCGGTGCGTACCTATCCCTCCCTTTGCTTGTTCGCTTGTTTCGCTTCTTCGTACCCGTTCACTTGTTGTCGAGCGCCATCACGGTGGAGTTTTTTTCCATCTATTTTGACCTTGACTACTCGCGCTCATTCGCTTGTTGTACAGCGACGTCGTTACAGCTCGTACGGAATTTTGTCCGTGTTTTTAATGGCTTTTGTTAAATTGGTTGCCTTGCGAATTGCTTGGTTTTCTTAATCGCTAACGACACGATGGCTTCTCTCCCGGCAGTGTGCCAGAACAACTGCTCGCACCACGGCCACTGTGAGCAGGTGACAAAGCTGTGCAAGTGTGACCCGTTCTGGTTGCAAAACTTCTTCAAGGCGTACCTGTTTAACGAGGAGAGTAACTGTGGTGAGTTGACTCAAGGCGTCGGAGTGATGGCGTGGCCACTGCTACCTCTCTGCTGCCATATCCTTCTCCTTCTCTTCCTCATTCACTTCCTCCTCCTTCTCATTCTCCTTCTCAACTTCCTTCTTCTCCTCCTCCTCCTCCTCCTGCTCCTCCTCCTCCACCTCCTACTCCTGCTCCAATTCCTCGTCCTCATCAACCACCTCCTCCTCCTCCTCTTCCTCCTCCTCCACCTACTTGATTCGGAGTAATATTATGATGTTTTGTTTGTATTTTGATTTATAATTGGCATTCACAATAAAGCGTAATGTATTTTATATTTATATTTGGATATTTATCTGTGGCTATGTTGTTGGTTTCAGACTGGAGCATCCTCTACTTCATCATTGTTGTTTTCATCCTGATCGTCACGTCATCGTGTGTTGTGTGGGCGTGTATCTGGTGCGTCAGACGGTGAGTCAGTCTCTCTGTCAGCGATCGGTCAGCGATCGGTCAAGCATTCTGCACTAACTAATGTTCCATTACAAAACCTAACGTTCCTTTTTCCAACTTCACCCAATCTGCTTCCCTCAGGAGAATGAATTTTGCACGGGTACAATATGGAAATATCATACTTATCCTGATGGCAATTACACGAACTAACATTCCTTTAGAAAAACCTTGTCCAACTTTGTCCAACTTGTTTCCTTCTGAGATATCTGCACGGGGTACGATATGGTGGCGGAAGAGTGAATGTTGGGTGCATGTTTAGCGAATGCTGTGTGTGTTGGTTGTGGGTGACACAGTGGTCAAATTAATGTATTTCTACTTTTCTGGGGCAAGCAGATCTGTATCTGTGATGGAGCACTGTTAACTATAGTTGATCACTAACTGTGCACTTTTCCAGGAGGAAAGTTTGTAAAGGAAGTGTTCTTTATCACCTGTGGTCTCAGTACTTTGCTTTTTAGTGTCTTAGTAGTTTCTTATTGTTAGTTGTGGAATAACGTTGGCAGTCAGTCTGGTGTAGAATGTAATCAAAAGAGTCTTTGTCTTTTTTTGCACTATCAACACAGGAAAGTCAGAGCCTGCAGGTGAGGGGAACGTAGGATAAAATCATCAAATGTTTGCCTTTTTTCCGTCAATGTTTTTTGTGTTTATTCGATAGGTTTGTAATTGTCGTTGCTGCCCCGTCGTGTACTTGGTTGATTACTTTCTTTATTGTTGGGTTTAGAATGGAACATTTTCTTAAGTCAAACTGTTGGGGGGAAAACTTAATATGTAAAAATATTAAAAAGAAGAAAACTTATTTCACTTGTGTACACATTTTACTGTATATCTATACAGAAGATAGAAATGAAAAAAGATAAAATTATTATCTATAAAAGAAAAGAAAAGAGAGAGATAAAACTTCGTTTGTGAAATGAGTGGCAATAGGTATATAGCAGTAGATGTGTGTGTATGCTAATGTGTCGTTACCACTTCTGTAGACTGAGAGGCAAGAAGTACACCAAGAAGCAGCATCACAAATACAAACTACTGAGTGACGAGGAATTTAGTGCTCCTGACATGAGAAAAGTACCAAAGAGTAAGTGTCAACTTCACTGCTGATATATTTTTCCCATGCATCAGAAGTTTGAAATATAGTGAAAAGTATATAGTTACATATAGTTACATATAGTTACATATAGTTACATATAGTTACATATAGTTACATATAGTTACATATAGTTACATATAGTTATTAAGTTAGAAGAACAAAAAAGTGACAGATTTTGATGAAGACGTCGATTACTGCATGATGTAGAAATATAGTTGATCGGTTTCGAGTTGACAGTGGCGCCCCCGCTCGTTCCTTTTTCCAGCCAAGCTGGTTCCGCGGAAGCAGCAGCCGGCGCTCTTTACGGATTCCGACTCGGACGAGGAAACGCTGTACGAGAACGCGAAGAACGGAATCCGCATCCACAACGTGAACGGCTTCAGTCGCCGACAGAAGAAGATATAGCGATGCCTGATGACGCGGCGCCCCCTGCCGGCCGACGTGGCGCCCTCTGTTGACTGAAGTGGCGCCGCTTGCCAATTGACGTGACAGCGCCTGTGATTCGTCGTCGTGGCGCCCCCTGCCGGCCGACGCGGTGGCGCCCGTGGTTCGTCGTCATGGCTACGCGAGGAGTCGACCGACCAGCGTGCGGAGTGCATACGGGTTCTTCTGTACTTGTGCTGCTACTGTCGCGAGACACGAATCAGTCGTGAATTCAAGGATTTCTGGCGACGCCTTCACCAGAGTGTCATGGCATGCCAGGATTCAGTGCCTGACTCCCGGCTGGTGGCGTCAGCGGCAGCAGTTACTCGTCCCTGATGCGTCATGGCGTCCGACATTATGGTTTATCGAGGTGGTCGCGTCATTGTAAATACAAATGTGATACTTCCTGTTGTTTGTCCGGTCGTAATTATTTAGAGGGACGAAGCAGTGAGGAGGTTTTCGTTGGTACAATTGGCTTTGCACTATTCAGATTATAACTGTGATATAGTTCCGCACGGAGTTACACGCGCGCACTGTGGAGAGTAGCACGGAATCTTCCGTCAATGTTCTATTCATTTTTTTTCGTTTACAGTATGTGTTTATGCAATATAGCAAGGTGTGTGTGTGTGTGTGTGTGTGTGTGTTGGGTTTGTGTGGAGAATTACGATGTGTGTGGCAATAGACTTATATCACGTGCGGCCTCGATGAGAATTGTAGTAGTTATCTATCGCACTGTTCCCTCTCAGTACGAAATATGGTCGGTAATGTGTATGCGCGTGGAAGTGATGAGACGAATCAAAGTGACTCGGCTGTAATGTGTGTTTGCCTTACTATGTCTGTGTTCATGCATGGTCCTGCCCAGCATTGTTCATGGAGCAGTGCATGTTGTTATGTTCGCGGGCTGCAGTTGTGTGCTTGCATCAATATATCTTTTGTTATGCAGTGGTGCTACACCTCGGCATCTTTCCTGCCGCACCTTCCTTAGGCCGACGCGGCTCATCTTTCTCCGACCAACCCCCTGCTGTCCTGCCCTGCCCCTCTCTCACCACACCTTGCGGACAAAAAATCGCTATCCCGAGAAAGATAGTGCACTATGTACTGTACTTTGCTCTACTATAACATTACGTACATCCTGTATACGTATGTGCTAATGGCAGCCGTACAGATCACCAGGTGGTGCTGCGTGCATGGCTGACTGGCTGGCTGACTGGCTGGCTTGAGAGACCGTACGAGGTCATAGGTCACCTACGTTTCTAACTGTCCAATGCATTTCTACGGTTTAGCCGTTGTCTAGATTGTTACGCCGGCATTCCTAAGCAGTCTTTACAACGCATCTTCAGTGTGTTACGAATTTCAGGTTATCAGCTTCGAATATCGGCACTAATATAAGGGAAGGTTAGAGCGTGCAGAAAGGGTGCTTATTGACGGTAGACGTATGCATGCGGTTATATAGTGAATAGTTTTGCGAGGTTAAATTAAAACTATGTTTATGTTATGATGAAATATGAAGCGGTAAGATGCTATAGCTCGTGTAGTAATGCCACAGTGAGAGGGGATGTGTATGCGAGGTGAGGGAGGCATATTAAACATTTGTTTGTAATATAATCGGAAGTTTACGATGGCATTTGTTGCGTTTCATCGTTTTTAATATTTTTTGCTTAATTCGAGAAACGGTGAGAGCAAACACGAACTTTAATGATTATGATTTCATGATGCAGTTTTTCTCTTGACATACCTATTTATTTTATACGTATTTGATATTCCTTTATAGTAAGAATTCTAATGCGAACATGCGTAATACACACAGTGCCTGCTGGGTTGTGATAGCGGGACGGGTGGGATGGCTGTATTAAAATAGGGAGACGGATAGAATAGCTCTACAGGGATATATAGAGGATAACATATTATACATGGCATTAGTCTGTCTTAACATCGTTTCTATTGTTTCTGTGCGTCGTTGAAGCCACAGTGTCGCTGTCGGCTGTGGCTACTCATGTGATTGCATGCTGTGGCCGCGGGTCGAATTCAGCTTACTTCGTGACAAATGCGTCGGCAGGATGCTAGCTACCCACGGCGGCATCGTCATCATCATCATCGTCGTCGTCGTCGTCGTCGGCGGCGACATCACATCATATATGATAACGCGCCGCCTGATCTTATTGCGCTTTGACCAGATGTGGCTCGCTCTTATTTCATCTGACTGATTATAGATACGGTCGTTCCGTCGTCGCTCGCTATACTGCCCGCGTTCTTCGTGTCGGTCCGTACGCGTGCGGAGACCTTCACCCGGGAGAGCAATTAAGTTTCGGACGAGAGCGGCCACAGAGGAATAGAATATTATCATCGAGGCATCGCGCTACAATCAACTTGTCGCTTCTAAGTTGTCGTTAGGAAACGATTGCCGCGTGACGCTAGTACGTGCGTGCGTACGTGCGTGCGTACGTGCGTGACGGTGGTATTTGTGCGTGCTAGTGTGGGTGCGTGCGTGCATGACGGTGGTATTTGTGCGTGCTAGTGTGGGTGGGTGCGTGCATGACGGTGGTATTTGTGCGTGCTAGTGTGGGTGCGTGCGTGCATGACGGTGGTATTTGTGCGTGCTAGTGTGGGTGCGCGCGTGCATG